AAGAAACGTGTTCTTTTAGATAGCAGCATATATACCTCTATAGGTAGCAGTAATCTAGGAGGATAAGCGGCGTCCAATTCCTCGCGCCCAGCTTCATAGTTATGAGCCCGGAATCGCATCCTTTTACGCCTATTCCCTTTGAGATCAATCTTTGATTAAACCTTATCGGTTTACTCGCTTGATAAGCTAGTGTAACATTTGTTTTAGGCGGCGGAGGGCTGTCTACACTGTTTCGAACATGGCTGAGTCTATAAAGAGATTAGTTCTTCTCAACAAGCCCTCAGACTGGGATAACTGGCTATACCTTGTCCGTTTACGTGCGACAGCACTACGTATTTGGGAAGCAGTTGATCCATCTAAGTCTACTAAACTAGATTAACTTTAAGAACCTACGCTGCCATCTTTGCCTGCTTTAGGAGAGGTAAATAGCTAGGCACAATTTTAAACCGAATTTACTATCTTTCGCCACTAAACAGCGGCATTCGATAAACGTGAGAAGGCTCTCGTAGATCTCACAACCTACATCTAAGAATCGATCTTAGTTAACAATCTCTCTTTCATTACATTAGTTAAGACCCATCTATAGGACATCCTCAGAGCTCTATAAAAACGCCTAGCGCCTACGGATTAAGCACGGCTTATAGAGCTAGAGTAGTAATACCGTAATCTTTATAAAACCCCGAAGGCTTAATTAATCGACACATAGCTATAGTAATAGGAGAAGCTCTATACCGAAGTAAAGAAGCACCAACTTGCTAAAGTATTAGGCAGCAGGCCTACTAGAGACTTTCTAAACGCTCTTAAGCCTATCGAACCTCAGTTTACAACCTTAATATAAGTTAAATTAATTAATAATCCCGCTTCGATAACAGATCTATACGATCTTATCGAGAAGTTTCGCTAGTTCTACAGAATAAATAAATCTCAAAAGTCAACTACTAGTTCTTATTCAGCCTTCCAGGTAAACTTCTAAGGAAAATAGCTTAAGCAGAAACTACTCTACGACTGCGGAAAGCATTACTTTTAGAGTAACTACTACTACTACAATACAACGATCCGTCTAAGAACTTTTAAACCAAATCAGTCAATTCAGGCTACTATTTAAGAAAAGCTTAAAGATCCAAAGTATAAGGAGCGTATAGACGCTTCAATCGAACGAAAAAGGCGACTCAATTAAACAAAAGAGCCAGATTAATCAACAGAACAAGAGGACCCATTAAAGAAGCAGAACATCGCCTCATTTCCCTCTCACTTCGCTTTATTTCTAACCGTTCAATACTCTCTCTAGGACTTATAGATCCTAGATTCAGGATCAAACACGCATGTCTACAACTATACAATAGCAGATAGATTCTAACAATCCCGCAAGGCCATAAAAGGCAAATCACTTATTTTAGGAACCCACGTATCTCTAATCAAGGCATAGGGAACTATATCCATTTCTATAAAGATAGAAAAAGGCGAAGGCCTTATTACGCTTAACAACGTCGCATTCGTGCTAGAATTTATAACGAATCTCGTCTCTCTAAAGCTTACTATAGCTAAAGGAATCTACTAGGACACGTAAGCAATAGAACTTACTCTTCAGGGTAGACATCTCTACAAGATCTAACCTTCTCAAGGATAATTTCTTCTTAAAAATAACCAACCGAGCCAAGATTAAAATCAGGCTTATTCCTTCTTCGTAATATTAATTCGAATATCGTCCGAGGAGAAATAGTATAGCACGCTAGCTTATACAAATTCAGAGGCAATCTAGCATCTTCAGGAAAATACTAAGGGCGTAGTTATCACCAAGAACCCGCCGACTCCCAACACTTTAAAATACAATACCTATACATTATCAAAATCACACAAAATCGTCTCGAGATCTTCAAGCAAGGAAGAGACCTTATAAGAGGCGTTCTATCGCCTATCATTCGATCTCATCCAGATGCAAAGAGGATACAACGGAGACAAGTAGATATCCCACTTT